CAAACTTAGTATGTAGCATTCTTAGGTAATATTTTATCTTTTATTGAAAGCAGTTGTTTTCTATTGAGCGACTCAGGGCCATTATGGCCCTCTTGTATGTTTTATATTTTTTCTTTTACCTATTTAATGACGTGTCAATGAACCAGTCTATTATAGTCTAATGACGGGAACCAAATTTGGACAGGGAACCAGGGGTATGACCAAAATATACAACAGAGTGCAACGGGCGCAAAGACCGTTTTTGCAAAACAGGTACGGTGGCACAAAGGTGACATGATTGTGTGTGTATTTATTTATATCGTGCGCTCGAGATTCTATGGCGTGGCAATGAGTTACTAAGTCGTAGCAACGACAATATTAAGTCGTAGTCCTGAACGAGATTCTATGTCGTGGCCACGAGTTACTAAGTCGTGGCCACGAGATAACTTAATTAGTCGCGGGCACGGGATACTATGTTGTGGCACGAGATTCTATGTCGTGGCCACGAGTTACTTAGTCGTGGGCACGATATAATTAAGTCGTGGGAACGAGATACTATGTCGTGGCCACGAGATGCTGGGTAACTTGTGGCCACGGCATAATAGTATCTCGTACGCACGAGATAAATAAACACACACACACACATGTCACCCTTGTGCCACCGTAAACGGGCAATACGTATGCTTATTTGTAAAATAATTAACATCTAAAGAGTAAAGCAGATTAACTGAGTGCAAAAGTAAGTTTCTTTTAAAGTGTATCTAAATTGTTCCGACGGATTATATTCTGGCAAATGGCCGCGAAATGGACATATTCTTGGCGCAACTGAGATATTTTTCTATAAAGGGAACAATGTAAGATTATAAATAACAATTATCAAACTAAGATAATGATGTAAAATTAAATAAAATACAACATAAAATTGGTTGGGAAAATTTTAAAGGGGTTTTTTTTACATTTTTTGCCTGGGGAAATAGGGCATTAGGGAGCTTAGCGCAAAAGGAAAATAATTTTTTTATAAAAAAAAACAACAAATTTTTTAAAACATTAAAATTTTCAAAATAAAATATTTTTTACAAATTTAAAAAATAAATATAATAAGGAATTTGGGCACCCGTGAAGTTCACATATTTGGCAGAGTCTTTGATGTGCAACATCAACATTTAATTTGTTTATTTATTGATACTAGCATATGTATCTATCTACACTGACGATGTGTGCCACCTTTTCAAACTTTTAGTTTTAAAAAGAAAACACAGTGCATAGTGAATCTTAACGTACACGCCCAACAGGTGACTCGAACCCCCGACCCTCAGATATCTGGAGTTCAAGAAGCTTTAAAAGTATACCGACTGTGCGTTTGCTAGCTGTTAATTGTTGTTTATATTTTTGAACTATTGATTGTAATTTAAAAACAGTAATAAATACTTTCAGGCCAAGCGCGGGAACTCGAATCCAGGAACCTCAAATATCAGTGGTTTAATTTAAATATGGATGACCTGGAAGCCATATTTTTTCCAAAACTTCTGTGACGGCTGCCGTGATGGAAAGCTACCACCAAGTGGTTATTTAGTCAATACAAACTCCAATTAATGTAATATATAAGCTTATTTTCCATTGTTTATACGGACAACCCCTAATAAAAGCAAGGAGTCTCTAATTTGATTCCATGACAAGCAATTGGTTCTTTCCATCATCAGTTAAGACAAGATTAGTTTTACCTATATTGAGAGTAAGACTGATGGTCATTTACATTTCAGAGTGGCGGGATAAATTGATCGATAGCCCAAGTTTAATATTATTCAGGGAATGTTTTAGGGAAATAAAAGAAAACTATGAAATGTCAAAGTATCTATTAATAATTGAATATAAGAAACATAGACAATATTTAGCAAAGCTTAGAAAGCTTTCTCATTGTCAAAATGTAGAATGCGATCGACATAGAAATATAGACAGACAGATTTATGCGTTGTACAATAGAAGATGAATATCATTTTGTCATGAAATGTAGTTTTTATAAAACATTACGTATTAGGTATATTTCACAAGATATTTCCGGGTTAGACTAAGCATGGTAAAATTTGTTGAACTGATGAAAACTAAGGTTAAACCATTAATTGCTTTATAAAATTTCAGTGTATATAAAACATGCTTTCAATAAACGACAAGAATTTTTTAAATCTTTTAAATGCCACGTAGAGGAAGAACTACACATGTATTGCATTTACTAGTATTCGTGAAACAACAGTAACACTTTTGTTAATCGATTCATAAAAAAAGTGATATCTAAACTTTTGAAACACTCTCTTAGATTGTGCAACTTGTATATAATGCTATTTAACTATTTAACTTAGTATTTATGTGACAAGAGCATAGCTCTTTGGCCTGTATCAGTATATAGATCTTAAAATGGACAAATGTTATAAATCCTATAAATCCTCTCTGTTTAAAAATAATTTTTGATAACTTTAAAAATTATTTACTTAAAACAAATTTGCATTCGGGCGTGTATTGCCACGCATATACGGTGCTCTTGTTTTATTGTATTTTCTGATCGCAAGATCAGTAAATACAAAGCTAACATCCACGGTCAAACACAAAATTTCCTAACAGACCTAACAACGCAAAGTAGTTCTCACTCAGAACTGCTTAAAAACCAGCAATTTAAAAGAAAGAATAATTTTTAATGTAGGCATTTAACGAATTACAGTGCATTAAAAGTTTAGAGTAGTCAATAGAAATATGAGGTTACAATCACAAATTTCGCGGATGAATATCTTTTTTACCCAATGTAAAATGTTCGGCTATTTCCGTAAAGCTTAATCAATGAAAATGCTTTTTTAGCTATGTCGATTACCGAATACTCCAGAGCGTAGTACACAAATAAATCTGACTGTCGAGTAGTGGAATATATACATGTCGTACTGTTTTGTCGAGAAGATTTTCGCTAAATTATTTTCATCAGTGTTAAATAACAGGTTTATCGTGAACAAAATACCTCGAAATTAGTAAGGAATGGAAATTCTCAAATTAGAATTACAATGTATTTGTTTTTATTCAAGCTACATATGTATTACTTCACCGTGGTGCAGAGGTAGCGCGCTCGTGTAGGGTGTGAGAGGCCTAAGGTTCAAATTCTAGTCGAGGCAACTTTTTTTTTTGAAGTGTCTTTTTTAAGGAAGTAGCCACGATATGCAAGGATAAAGTGTGGCTGTCATAAAAAATGATTTTTTGATGCAACTCTAGTCATGCAAAATTCCATATGTATCAATCTCAAACTGTTATAGACGCAGTCGCTGCGTAAGATTAATAATAGTATATAAACTTATACAGGAAAATACATACAGATAGTCAGTATGATTTAGATTGCAAAGATCAGAAAATACCACAGAGGTTGCAGCCCTTTGATTATATATCTTTTTCATATACTAACGTTAAATAGGTAAATATTCAACTATCAACACATTTCCAGTTGAAGGTTCATGGACAAGTCGATGTTATCCGGACTCGGCATGTTTGGGCTTTTCAAAGCTATTACCCTGATGCAAACAAAATTTTACTGTTATACAGTTGTAGCTTCACAGTGCACTTGTGGTCACAAAATATAAGTCAACCTTTTGTGCTTATTTCCGAAGCTGTGACTGTTGTTGTACTCCTGCATTAGCTACGGAAACCCTAAAATAGTCGTAATTCCGGAGTAAGTCTATCATACAAAACCGAATTACAATAAATAAGTGTAATTATTCCAAAATGGAGAAAATTCTCTTTTTTTTTGTTCCGCTATTTGGGTCATCGTGACGATACTCGTGACTTGAAACAACGGAAACACGAAGTTGCTTTGGCGAAAAGCAGAAAAAAGAAACCACGATTGCCAAAAGTCGAATATACGATGATGGAAACACGAAATTATGCTGGACCTTTACGATCATGGTTCCGTTCTTTCGACTATTCACCACAGTAATTTCGTGCTTTTCGTTATTTCGAGTAATGTGTGTATTGCGATGGCCATAAGAGCCATCGTATTTCTTTGGAAATAACAAACGTCTCCGATCTCTTCGTTCCCGAAAACATTTCTTATTCTATTGAACAGTCACTCGAGTGAGGATTAACACTAATATATACAAAGAAAAATTACAACTCGACAATGAGGAATAAGCCTCGAAAAGATACTTTAAAAGTATTTCTTCAAGAACCGGAGAAAGTAAAAATCCGAATTTGAAAATACGAAAATAAAGATCATTCAAATGCATATAAAAAAGATATCATTTTATTAATTATCCGATTTAAACAAATTGATTTAGATTTAATTACAGCTGTAAGATTGATATGATTCGTTGTCTTACAAAATAGATTTATTTTAAGACATTGATTTATAATTCAATAGTGACAAGTCGACCAAAAGAAGGCGACGAGTGCGAGGTGACCAAAGAGGTGATGAGTCGACCACGGAACGAGTGGACCTGATTGCCGCCCAGTGGAGGACCCTCATATACATGTATCAGACCGGGAACAAACTTGTTTATGAAATCGCTTGATTTTAGCAACACTTAATATTCCTCTTAGGACACTTTAAAATCGTGTACATGTTCTTGCAAACCCAGGAATGCTAAAATACCGGGGAATGATAAAAACGCGGACACGTGAAAATCTTTGTTAAAACATACACAGAACGGACACTGGTACAAGCGACCCTCACATATCAGAGGTTCTTCAGTCTCAAAAGTCTCAAAAGATAGGCACTGGATACCACTTACAACTTCCACTCTTTAATTTATTCAACAGTTTAGTTTAGTAAAGAAAGAATATTCTTTTCAACTTTGAGAACTCGAAGTAATTAATACCTGGAGAATGTTGCAGAAAGCAAAATAAAAATATGTCCGGCTAGGCTTCTCCTGAATAAATTAGAGGAGGTACATTAGCAAAATTACCGCAGTAACCATTTCATATGTAAGGTGTTTTTTCACCCTTTAGATTAGTTGATAAATAATATTTACATACACATATTTTTTATCTCTATATGTGTAATGATCATAAATGAACATAAACTATTGTGAAACATACATGTATCTTAAATTAACAAACATGACAATAATTGTCTCAAACATGTATCTTACTGATATGTACAAACATGTTCTCAGAAAATGTTTCATGAATTTTGTGTAATTTATCTTCATTTAATTTAAAGAAACATAAAGTTATTATGCATGTATTGCCAACTTGTTGTAGAATCAAATTAATTTTACTTTTTTCATGATCTAGTACAAATGAGAGAGATCACCAAATGTAATACATAAAGCACACAGAAAAATTTCTAACATTTCAAATATATATTCCGTCACGGAACTTAAATTGACAATTAAGGTCCGTGATTCCGTACAAAAAAAATCACAGTAAAAAGTAACCTTGAAGCCAACATTTTCACTAACAAAGCATATTACTCCACTACTTTGAGGTTCCATATGATCTCATATTACAAGTGTTTACTAATCATATAATACTCTTATTCAAATTTGAATAATCTCAAAAATCCTCCACTTCCGTCAAACGTAACAACCATTTTATCCATATCTTGGTTGAAACACATAGCCATTGGACAATTCACTTTAAATTCCCCTAATATGTTTGCTTTAATCAATTGCCCGTTTGAACTAAGTTGTTGAATATAATTTGTGCTATAACTTGCAACATAAGCATTTCCTTGTGAGTCTGTAATAATGGACCACGGATATTTAATTTCATGCTGGAATATCATATTTCCAGACATGTCTAAGCAAAGCAATTTGTGTATTCTGTGTGAAGAAATTAAGACATGACCATACTGAGAATCAACACATAAGTTGTATGTACTTTGCAATGTATTTCTATCAATACCGCTTAAATCGACAAATCCAGCATCTTTACCATCAAGCGTTATCTTTCTTATAACCGTTTCAGACAGAGACAATATCAAAAGATTTTTGCTCTTTTTATCATAAGCTAAAACGTTGGGTTGTCGACAGTTTAAACTTCTTAAAACTGTCATTTTATTTTGTTCAATTTTCATAATATTTATTTTGTTTAATGATGTCAAGGCAACAGCAAACTCGTTATTCTCAGTAGCTGTTACTGATGTAGGTGAATCACATTGATATGATGTAACAGATGAACCGTTATCTGCTTTGTAAGCTACTAACTTTGAAGAAGATACAAATGATACTACAATGTAATTTCCAACCCAAACACAATATGTTGGCTGGCTCTCATTCAAACTGACCTCACGTTCCAAAGTAAGTTTCCTATTCTTGAAATCTTTAGTTTGTGTAAATGCAGGCAAAACTGGCATATCGTTCATTTCTTTGATCTGGTAAAGATTTTCAACATGTCTTACTACATCTTCAAGTGGATGTGCTTCTGACAGTGTGACCAATGACTTGCTTGATTGTTCTCGAAGAGTTGTGAATGTTTTCTCAAACTCTGAAACTTGTTTACCAATTTCTCTTTCAAGAAGAAATATATGTACCGATGTTCCATTTGCTTTGGCCTTTTTAATTTTCTCTCCACACTGTTTAATGTTCTCTTTAAGTTGTTCTGCTGTATCTCTCTGTAATGAACTAGCTTTTAATAATACCTGTTTCCTTTCTGACATTTCCAACATGATCCTCTTTTCAAGTTTCCAAAAGGCGGCATCAAGTTTTACCTTAAGATCTTTTAAACATGTTTTCACTTCATCTTCTTTCCCACCAATCTTTGCTAAATACGTAGCTTCATGCGAAATGAGCTTTTCAACGTCACCGTCAATGGTATCAAGTCTCTTTTCAATACCGGATTCTTTGCTGGCTTCCTTGTTTGATTTTATTTCTTCACTTAAAGATACCATATCTTCACATTTTCTATGAGTAACGATCGCACATTCATTACAACACAGTTGGTCATGGTCCTTACACAGATATTTCACTTCTTCAGTATCATGCAATGGACATTTTGACAGGTTTGCTAAATATTCGAATTCTGCAAGATCTAACTTTTCCGCCGATCCATCAATTATGTCTATCAATTTATGATTTGATAATACTTTATTTTTCTTGTGATGCCTTTTACAATCTTCACACAGTTTTTCAGAACAATCATAACAATAAACAATAGCCTCAACCTTGATATCCTCCCTTAAACACGCCTCACAATTGTTTACCTTTGCGTTCATCGCCAGTTTTCTATCTTTCAAAATCGAAAGTAGAGTAAAGTTAATTGGAAAATTCTCCACCCACTTTTCAACCTGTTTAAACCTGACTTTATCTGTTTTCGTGTCCGCTCTACAAACTGGACATAACAATGTTTGTGAATCCTGTGTAATCTTCAGAATATAACCTTTTAAACATTCCTGACAGAATGAATGTAAACACGGTAATGTTCTAGGTGTGTCATATATCTCCAAACAAATACTGCAGTAAAAATGCTCATCACGTACCAAAACTTGATCTGATGTCGCCATTTATATCAGATTAAAGGGGAAGAACTGCGTTAATCAGGCTGATTATACTACCTGTTATTTGGAACGTAGTAAAACAAGACAAGCTAGCTGCTGTCTGCTATACGGAGAATTACATTTTAAAAGTTTTCTTTCATACGTGGTTTTCAATTTTCTAAAAAGCATACTGTCAGTAGCCAAAGATTGATGTAATAAAAGTAAAAACGTGCAGGCAATTACTTATATTACAAAATCAAAGCCAATCGGGGACTCTTTAATGTGATAGTGCCATGTTGGAATACCATATATTCTTTTTATTTATTTTTTTTAATATCTTTATTCTATTACCTATTGAATAACATGTCAACGAGCCAGTCTATTATATTCTAATGACGGGAACCAAATTTGGACAGGGAACCAGAGCTATGACTAAAATATACAACGGAGTGCAACGGGCGCAAAAGACTTTTTTGCAAAACAGGTACGGTGGCACAAAGGCAGCATGAGTGTGCATTTATTTATCTCGTGCGCTCGAGATTCTATGTCGTGGCCATGAGTTACTAAGTCGTGGCCACGACAAAATTAAGTCGTAGGAACGAGATACTATGTCGTGGGCACGAGTTACTAAGTCGTAGCCACGACATAATTAAGCCGTAGAAACGAGATGCTATGTCGTGGCCACGAGTTACTAAGTCGTGGCCACGAATAAATAAAGTCGTGGCAACGAGATACTTTGTTGTGGCCACGAGTTACTTAGTCGTGGGCACGATATAATTAAGCCGTGGGAACGAGATACTATGTCGTGGCCACAAGATACTAAGTAACTCGTGGCCACTACATATAGTATCTCGTGCACACGAGATAAATAAAAAACACACATGTCACCTTTGTGCCACCGTAAACAGGCGAAACGAATGCTTATTCATGAAAATAATTAACATTTAAGTAAAAAGAAAAAGATTAACTGAGTGAAAAAGTAAGTTTGTTTTGAAATGTATCTCAAATATTTGCAATAGGTTGTTTTAAAGGATTCTTTGCTGGCAAAATGGCCGCGAAATGGACATATTCTTGGAGCAACGGAGATAATTTTGTATAAATAGCACAATAAATGTTTATAAATTTAAATAATCAAACTAAAATTTATTCTACACACTAGTATTGAATATAATAAACTCTAAATCGGTGTTAAGTAGCCGATAAACATAGCTAAGGCCGATATTTTTTCTTAATTTTATTTACTTAAAACAAATTTGCATTCGGGCGTGTTTTGCCACGCATATACTGTGCTCTTGTTTTATTATATATCTTTTCATATACTACATGTAAATACAATGTAGGCAATTATTCAACTATCAACACATTTCCAGTTGAAGGCACATGGACAAATCGATGTTATCCGGAACTCGTCATGTGTGGGCCTTTCCAAGCTAATATCCCGATGCAAACAAAATTTTACCGTTTATGCATAAATGGAACCAGATTGTCTCCCTTTCGTTTTAGCCTTAGATATATAATTATGTCATTAAGTATAACGTTCTTATTTTTATTTTATTTTATTTTTTTGAAACTAAACAGTACGTAACTTTGTTGAAGTAGCATAGCTTTAACTAAAAATATAAACCAGTATTTGAATACACCGGCTTATGTAGGTGGCTGAAATGATAATTTTAAAGAATAAGTTTAAATGAATATCCAAATTAAATGTGTATGCATATTTCACATTACTGGCCTATGTACAAATATTGGTATACATACTTAATTTTACATAGTGTAATGTGAATTGATTATGTATGTTTATATATTACCATGCTCTTCAACCGCCGTCACCATGATAAATGGCGACGAACATATAATGTTCATATGCTGAATAAAGAATTGAATTGAAATTGTTGTCACAAACGATTAGCAAACCTGCTGCGCTTATTTCCGAAGCTGTGACTGTTGTTTGTATCCCTGCATTAGCTACGGAAACTCCAAAATAGTCTTAATTCCGGAGTAAGTCTATCATACAAAACCGAATTATGATAAATAAGAGTAATTATTCCAAAATCGAGAAAATTCTCTTCATTTTTTTGTTACGTTATTTGGGCCATCGTGACAATACTCGTGAATTGAAACAACGGAAACTCGAAGTTGCGTTGGCAAAAAGAAACCACGATTGCCAAAAGTCGAATATACGATGATGGAAACACGAAATTATGCTGGGTCTTTACGATCATGGTTCCGTTCTTTCAACTATTCTCCATAGTAATTTCGTGCTTTTCGTTATTTCGAGTAATGTGTGTATTGCGATGGCCCTAACGAGCCATCATATTTATATGGAAATTACAAACGTCTCCGATCTCTTCGTTCCCGACAACATTTCTTATTCTATTGAACAGTCACTCGAGTAAGGATAAACACTAATATATACAAAGAAAAATTACAACTCGACAATGAGGACTAAGCCTCGAAAACATGCTTTAAAAAATATTTACTCAAGAACCGGAGAAAGTAAAAATCCGAATTTGAAAATCCGAAAATAAAGATCATTAAAATGCATGTAAAAACATATCATTTTGCAATTCTCTTATTAATCCGATTTAAACAAATTGATTTAGATTTTATTAGAGCTGTAAGATTGATATAAATCGTTGCCTTACATAATAGATTTATTTTAAGACATTGATTTATAATTCAAAAGTGACAAGTCGACCAAAAGAAGGGGACGAGTCGACCATATTAGGGACGAGTTAACCAAAGAGGTGAGGAGTCGACCAAGGGACGAGTTGACCTGATTGCCGCCCAGTGGAGGACCCTCATATATTAGAACGGGAACAAACGTGTTTATGAAATCGCTTGATTTTAGCAACACTAAATGTTCCTCTTAGGACACTTTCAAATCGTGTACATGTTTTTGCTAACCCAGGAATACTAAAAAACCGGAGAATGCTAAAATACCGGGGAATGCTTAAAAAAACCAGACACGTGAAAATCTTTAAGCATACACAGAACGGACACTGGAACCAGCGACCCTCAGATATCAGAGGTACTTCAGCCTCAAAAGTCTGCTGCTCTTCCAAATGAGCTTGATAGGCACTTGATACCCCCTTTAATTTATTCAACAGTTTAGTTTAGTAAAGAAAGAATATTCTTTTCAACTTTGAGAACTCAAAGTAATTAATACCTGGAGAATGTTGCAGAAAGCAGGGAAAATATATGTCCTGCTAGGCTTCTCCTGAATAAATTAGAGGAGGTACATTTGCAAATTTACCACAGTAACCATTTCATATGTAAGGTATTTTTTCACCCTTGAGAAGTTGATAAATAATATTTACATACACATATTTTTTTATTTCTTTATTTGTAATGATCATAAATAAAAAAACTATTGTGAAACATACAGGAATCTTAAATTAACAAACATGACAATAATTGTCTCAAACATGTATATTACTAATATGTCAAAAAATGTTCTAAAATATTTTTCATGAATTTTGTGTAAATGTTAATAATATCTTCATTTTACTTAAGAAACGTAAAATTATTATACATGTGTACATGTATTGCTACTTACAAAAGTCTTTGTTGTAAAATCAAATTGATTTTACTTTTTTCAAGATTAGGTCTAAATGAGAGTGGCCAAATGTAATGCATATTTCTGACATTTCAAATATTTATTCCGTCATGGACCGTAACTGACAATTAAGGTCCGCAAATCCGTACAAAGAAAAACACAGTAAAAAGTAACCTTAAAGCCAAACATTTATACTAACAAATCATATTTCCCCACTTCTTTGAGGTTCTATATAATCTTATCTTACAGGTGTTTTCTAATCATATTATTACTCTTATTCAAATTTGAATAATTTCAACTTTCCGCCACTTTCGTTAAACGTAACAACCATTTTGTCCATATCTTGGTTGAAACACATAGCCATCGGAGTTTTCACTTTATACTCCCCTAATATGTTTGCTTTAATCAATTGCCCGTTTGAAGAAAGTTGTTGAATACAATTATTGCCAGAACTGACAACATAAGTATTTCCTTGTGAGTCTGTAATAACTGACCACGGATGTGTAATTTCATGCTGGAATATCATATTTCCAGACATGTCTAAGCAAAGCAACTTGTGTGAGTGATATGAAGAAAGAAAGACCTGGCCATACCGAGCATCAACATATAAGTTGAATGTATTTTGCAATGTACTTCTATCAATACCGCTTAAATCAACAAATCCAGCATCTTTACCATCAAGCGTAATCTTTCTTACAACCGTTTCAGACCAAGAAAATATCAAAAGATTTCTGCTCTTTTTATCGTAAGTTAAAAGATCCGGCCGTTGACAGGTTAAACTTCTTAAAACAGTCATTTTATTGTGTTCAATTTTCATTATTATTATCAATTATTTATATTATTTATTTTGTTTGATGATGGCAAGGCAACAGCAAATTCGTCATTCTCAGTAGCTGTTACTGATGTAGGTGAATCACATTGATATGATGTAACAGATGAACCGTTATCTGCTTTGTAAGCTACTAACTTTGAAGAAGATACAAATGATACTACAATGTAATTTCCAACCCAAACACAATATTTTGGCTGGCTCTCATTCAAACTGACCTCCCGTTCCAAAGTAAGTTTCCTATTCTTGAAATCTTTAGTTTGTGTAATTGCAGGCAAAACTGGCTCTTCTTTGATTTCTTTGAACTGGTAAAGATTTTCAACATTTTTTACAACATCTTCAAGTGGATGTGCTTCTGACAGAGTGATCAATGACTTGCTTGATTGTTGTCGAAGAGTTATGAATGTTTTCTCAAACTCTGTAACATGTTTACGCATTTCTCTTTCAAGGAGAAATAAATGTATCGCTGTTCCATTTGCTTTGGCCATTTTCATTTTCTCTCCACATTTTTTAATATTCTCTCTTAGTTGCTCTGCTGTATCTCTCTGTAATGAACTAGCTTTTAATAATACCTGTTTCCTTTCTGACATTTCCAACATGATCCTCTTTTCAAGTTTACAAAAGGCGGCATCAAGTTTTACCTTAAGATCTTTTAAACATGTTTTCACTTCATCTTCTTTCCCACCAATCTTTGCTGAATACGTAGCTTCATGCGAAATGAGCTTTTCAACGTCACCGTCAATGGTAACAAGTCTTGTTTCAATACGGGATTCTTTGCTGGCTTCCTTGTTTGATTTTATTTCTTCACTTAAAGATACCATATCTTCACATTTTCTATGAGTAACGATCGCGCATTCATTGCAACAAAGTTGATCATGGTCCTTACAAAGATATTTCACTTCTTCAGTACCATGCAATGGACATTTTGACAGGTTTGCTAAATATTCGAATTCTGCAAGATCTAACTTTTCCACCGATCCATCACTAATGTCTATCAATTTATGGTGCGATGATGATTTACTCTTTTTATGATGTCTTTTACAATCTTCACACAGTTTTTCAGAACAATCATAACAATAGACAATAGCTTCAACCTTGATATCCTCCCTTAAACACGCCTCACAATCGTTTCCCTTTGCGCTCATCGCCAATTTTCTTTCTTGCAAAATCGAAAGTAGAGTAAAGTTAATTGGAAAATTCTCCACCCACTTTTCAACCTGTTTAAACCTGACTTTATCTGTTTTCGTGTCCGCTCTACAAACTGGACATAACAATGTTTGTGAATCCTGTGTTATCTTTAGAATATAACCTTTTAAACATTCCTGACATAATGAATGTAAACATGGTAATGTTCTAGGTGTGTCATATATCTCCAAACAAATACTGCAGTAAAAATGCTCATCACGTACCAAAACTTGATCTGATGTCGCCATTTATATCAGATTAAAGGGGAAGAACTGCGTTAATCAGGCTGATTATACTACCTGTTATTTGGAACGTAGTAAAACAGGACAAGCTGCTGTCTGCTATACGGAGAATTACATTTTAAAAGTTTTCTGTCATACGTGGTTTTCAATTTTCTAAAAAGCATACTGTCAGTAGCCAAAGATTGATGTAATAAAAGTAAAAACGTGCAGGCAATTACTTATGCAAGAAACTTAAATTAATTACAAAATCAAAGCCAATTGGGGAACTCTTTAATGTGATAGTGCCATGTTGGAATACGATATATTCTCTTTTTTATATATATATTTATCTTTATTCTATTACCTATTGAATAACATGTCAACGAGCCAGTCTATTATATTCTAATGACGGGAACCAAATTTGGACAGGGAACCAGGGCTATGACTAAAATATACAACGGAGTGCAACGGGCGCAAAATACTTTTTTGCAAAACAGGTACGGTGGCACAAAGGCAGCATGAGTGTGCATTTATTTATCTCGTGCGTTCGAGATTCTATGTCGTGGCCATGAGTTACTAAGTCGTGGCCACGACAAAATTAAGTCGTAGGAACGAGATACTATGTCGTGGGCACGAGTTACTAAGTCGTAGCCACGACATAATTAAGCCGTAGGAACGAGATGCTATGTCGTGGCCACGAATAAATAAAGTCGTGGCAACGAGATACTTTGTTGTGGCCACAAGTTACTTAGTCGTGGGCACGATATAATTAAGCCGTGGGAACGAGATACTATGTCGTGGCCACAAGATACTAAGTAACTCGTGGCCACTACATAGTATCTCGTGCACACGAGATAAATAAAAACACACATATCACCTTTGTGCCACCGTAAACAGGCGAAACGAATGCTTATTCATGAAAATAATTAACATTTAAGTAAAAAAAAAAAGATTAACTGAGTGAAAAAGTAAGTTTGTTTTGAAATGTATCTCAAATATTTGCAATAGGTTGTTTTAAAGGATTCTTTGCTGGCAAAATGGCCGCGAAATGGACAATCATATTCTTGGAGCAACGGAGATAATTTTCTATATACGGAACAATGTATGATTGTAAATAATAATTATAAAATTGAGATAAATGATATAAATTAAATGAAGTATCAACATAAAAGGTTGTTGTAAATTTCAATCGGATTTTTTTTATTTTAGGAAGGTAATACATGCCGGCAAAATGGACTTATTCGGGAGTTCAGCGCAACGGAGATAATTTTGTATAAATAGCACAATAAATGTTTATAAATTTAAATAATCAAACTAAAATTTATTCTACACACTAGTATTGAATATAATATCGTAAAGGAAGTTGTCAAGGCTGATTTTGTACATTACCTGTGACTGTCCACATCAGTTGGCGGTGTCTTTGATGTGCAACATCACCATCTAACTTGTTTATTTATTGATACTAGTATACGTATCTATCTAGACTGACGATGTGTACCACCTTTTCAAACTTTAAGTGTTAAAAAAAACGCAGTGCCCAATGAATAAAAACGTATACGCTCAACAGGTAACTGGAACCAACGATCCTCAGATATCTGAAGTTCAAGAAGCTTTAAAAGTCTACCGACTGTGCGCTTGCTACCTGTTAATTGTTGTTTATAAGATTATTGAACTATTGAATGTAATTTAAAAACAGCAATGAATACTTTCACGCCAAGCGGGAACTCGAATATATCAGTGGTTTGAAATATGGATGACCTGGAAGCGCTTCTGTGATGTAAAGCTACCACCAGTATGGTTATCTAGTCAGTAAAAACTACAAGCAATGTAAAATATAAGTTTATTTATCATTGCCCATAAGGACAAACCCTAAAAACAAGGAGGCTCTCATGACAAACAATTGGTTCATCAAAAAGCTAGATGCAAACACCATAACATGGGACGTTGTTTTGTAAAGTCTCATCGAAAAGACTTGAAAATTATCATAGTTCTATGATCAATTATAGTACATAACCACTTATCATGTAAATTTATTAATGAGTGAAGACCCTTTATAGGAAAATATCGACAGTTAGGAAAATATGCTGCATTGAACTCGATTGAATCTGCAGACATGACAAACAATTTAAGTGGACATACGTTCTTGACTCATCTATGATATTTGTTCGAAGCGTATAGATAAAAAAGTCTTAAGATGTTCCCATGATCGTGCACCTGTATATATAAACGTGATTTTCATTAATATCACTGCGGAAAATACAAGTAATTTGCCATAACGGAAACAAACATGCAAACATATAGTTACTTTCGATTAAAAATAAATAACTACTAATAAAAATACAGTTTTTTTTATTGATTATTTTTCTTCACGTAGTACACCGCTTTTAGTTCACTTCGCTCGTAGAGTAGTATTCAGTGAGGCGAAGAGCATGTATACCGACTTTAGCGCAATATCTCAAGACAAGATGAAAAGATTATTTTCTACAAATTATTAACACTAACTCTACATCAAACGACATATAGATAAATTAACTAGTTAGTTAAGTGGTTAACTGGTTACATAACTAGTTAACCACTAAATTAATATTAAGGTGGTAAAGTAATAAAAGAATGGCAGTTGTAGGCACTAACATGCATTTATTTCCCGTTATGATCTTTTATTTATTGAAAAAATTAACTAGTCACGTAACTAGTTAACCACATAACTAACTAGTTAATTAAGAGGTTAACTAGTTACGTAACTAGTTAACCTCTAAATTAACTCGTTAGTTATATGGATATCTGGTGGCAGAAATATGCCACCATATAAACCATTCTCTCTCTCTCTCTCTGTTTAAAAATTATTTTTGATTACTTTAAATTCTAACACTCCTTGTGATTTTGTCACTATAGACAAAGAAGGAAAAACTGGTGTTGAACTAAACACTGGTTAGGGACTTCTTGAATATGCGGCTGTTATGTTTTTTCCCCCGATTACATAGTTTACAAAGCCTTTTAAAGCATCAATAATTAGGCATTTTAATTTATTTATATTTTCAGATCTTATAATGTTTTCTTTTCATACAATACCGAAATTAATGTCTCACCGATACTCTCGCAAACAGATTTGAACCCATATCAGTATAATAAATATATTGAAACAAAACGCGCCATCCGGTCGCAGCGTAATGACGTCATCTTCAGGTATTAAAGGCCCGCATTCATAAACCAGCTGAGCATTATCAACAATTATAATACATTAACTTTTAGGCGCTCGTATAAATGTTAACACAATCAATACATTCTAAGATCGTTAAGTTTTTGTTGTCGAAACGTTTGAAAAAATAACTTATATATTCTTCCATATATATATTTTTTTTCATAATTATCTTATGCTTGGCAACAGCTCAGGAGTTACGAAACCGTAACCAGCGTTGATAACCGAAAATTACGGCACCGAAGTAATAATTTCCGCATTGAAAAAATAAACATATAGTGATCTTCCCTATATTTAAATCTTTTAAAACTCGAAATACATAATTCGGCTCTGAAGTGGTGTTTGTCAGATTTGAGCAAGATACAAAAACCACTTAGGACTACGGCCTTCGTAGGCGTCAATTCCCTACAGCATGCAACAACTACCAAATCGATAGATTAGAATTAAGATAGCCGATAAACACGATGCTAAGGCCGATAATTAATTTCTTTGCCACGCATATAGCAAGGTTGCTCTTGTTTTCAGTTATTCATCTTTTTCAAATTATACATTATAATAGGTGAAAGTCATTTCAACTATCAACCACATTGCTCAGTCTGAAGACATGGACAACTCGATGTTATTCCGGAACTCCCGGAACATGTGTGGGACTTTCCAAGCATATATCCCCGATCGCCAAAAACAAAATATTACTGGATACACATGTACTTTGTGCGTCACAAAAATTAGCCACCTGTTGCACTTAATTTTGAAAGATGTGACTGTTGAATTGTATCGGAAACACCCAAGGAATTGTCTTAAATTCGAGAGTAAGTTTACTGCATACAGAAATCAATTCACTCGCTGACTTGAAACCAACTAGGAACCATCGAAGTTAGCGTCTGAAAGCGCAAAAGCCCAGAATAAAAGACATCCACGATTTGCAACAAAATCCGATAATGTGAGATTGAGGAAAACACTCGATAAATTATGACATAGACTTTACGATTCAAATGGTTCCGTCTTTCGACTATCATCACACATAGTAATTTCGATATTTCGAATAATGGATGTATTGCATGGCGCTAAAAATCGAGCCCTCACTCATATTACTATGGAAATTACCAATACCGTCTCCGATCTCTTTCAGTTCCCGACAAACATTACTATATTCTATTTAGAACATCACTGCGAAGTAGACGATAAACACTAAATATATACAAAGCAAAAAGCTACAAGCTCGAACAATGAGGCACTAAGCCTCCTGAAAACATAGCTTTAAAAAATATTTACTCAAGAAAGAGAGAAAAGTAAAAATCCGAATTTTGAAAAATCGAAAAGTAAAGACAATAACATTTAAAATGCATGTAAAAAACATATCATTTGCCAATTCCTGGCTTAATAATAACACGATTTAAACAAATTGATTTAGATAATAGAGCTGTAAAGAATTCGATATCAAACTCGGTCTGCCTTTACATAATACAGACATTTTATCTATAAAGACATTGATTTATAATTCAAAAGTGACAAGTGACGACACAAATAAGGGACGAGTCGACCATATTAGGGACGAGTTACCAAAGAGTGAGGTAGCTCAGAACCAAGGCAGCGAAGTATGACCTGAATTGCCGTCCCAGTGGAGGACCCTCATATATTAGACGGGAACAAACGTTGTTTACTGACAATGTCTGATAATTAGCAAACACTAAATGTTCCTCTTAGGACACTTTCATCGTGATACATGAGTTCTTGCATAACCAGGAATTACTAAAAACCGGAGACATGCTATACAAAAAACACCGACACATTGAAAATTATGTTGAAATTACCATCGAACACTAGTACAACG